CACCGCTTGGATAAAAGTAGAAATGTGATTTCTCCTGGAATGTCGATCTGCCATTAATTTTAGTCTGGAAAGCAATCAGTTTATGTTGTCTGCCTTCTATTTGTGGCGTATGCACCTCGATGGTATCGATACCTGGATCGGGGAAACTTAATACAAATAGTCTGTTCGCCTTGTTTTAATGTTCGTGAGCACTATAGTGACGAAGGTCGCTGTTTACTCCGAATATTTATTTTCAGATGCAATCAGCAGTACCGGTAAAAACACCGCCGACCGCGACGACTATTTCTGGCTTATTAGCCGTCGGCAGTCAGCTATCTCCAGCTCTGAGATTTGAAGCCGAATTCTTTAGTTATTTAGCGTTTTGTTAAGTCCAATGCCCTACCATTAAGCCGCGGGTCTGTTGCCTTGTCCGTTTCTACCGGGAATTTGACAGCCATAGAAGGTCATTCGCCGATCCCGTTACGGACTATGCTCGTCCCCTTGCGTTTTGGGGCTCAATTTCGAACTGAGGTGTCGGACATATTTTCCCTATCAGTGTGTGCGCAGCAATTTCCTAGATTGTTCGTTGGAGATTGTCTTTTCTAACATCTGGGCACTGCAGAACCTACCTACAAGCAGTGTGGGAGGGGATGGGGGCAGGAGAACCCAGCTACTGGCTCTTCACTGTTAGCACGCCACGGTGTCATCATCGTTTTTCGGATTTTTCTGACCCATTCATGGTGTGCTAAACTGCACACCTATCCTTCGCTGTCCGTGAATGCTTCATCAGACGTGTCTGTTTTGTAAGTGGTCTTCGCCGAAGGCCTTTTTTAAAATTATTTTTCACTCGTGTAGACAGTAGTTGGATTGTCGGCCAGACTGCCCTGTATGTTTGCAATCACTTTAGTCGCAGCACTGCAGAGTATTTGTAGTCGACTCTATTCATTTAGTCTATCCTGCCCTTAGGGTGTGCATAGCATTTGTTTGTTTTTGTCCCGATGGTGTCTGGTGTTGTTGTTTTGTTCAGATCGTACACATTGGGGGACAGGTTGTTACCTTACGTGTGCGGTCAGTTTGAGAGCTGGAATAGCCCCTTCGTTTGCAAACGTAACCGCCTTGAACTTACCCATTCATGGAAAGGCTGTTTTTTTCGTGTTGCAAACAAAGGGCTTCCGCTTGTGCCCCTCTCAACGGGCCGTGCAAGGGGTTTGCTGAACCAACACAAGAACTAAACAAGGGCTCGACACGCGCTATTAGGCCTGCACATCCATACCAAGTGCCACACATGGGCGGTGCGATAACACGCCTGGACACAGCCCCACACATCACCAGCCACTTGCGTCCTATCCCCGCATCAGATGGCCGACCAGCTAGGACAGTGCACTATGGTCTCGGGGAGGAAACAGAGGGAGAGAGGAAGGGAGTGAGATCGGTTATGGACGCCGCGTCCTGGTGGTAACAGCGCGTATTCCTCATTATAAACAATCCGACGCGCTCTAAAACTATCACGGTGCACTTAACTTCCTT